ATACATGCGACAACGTCCAAAGATACATCCTCTACCAGCTCATGCAAATTGCTTTGTAGAAAAGCAAGATATGACTGACCATTCAACCTGGCGAGCAATTCATATGATCCAATTAATTTTTTGTTGAGTACTCCAGCCCATAAATTAACGCCGAACTGACGTTGAAAGCTGTGTCGGCGAATAGCGTATGGATTGTTGCTATATTGAATTCGTTTAAATCACAGAGCTTCTGCACTACTACACATGAATATGTGCAGCACTGTATTCATGTATTTGTTTCTTACAAACATACATTATTAAAATAATTACGATCTAACAGATATAATTTTTTTCAAAGATTTCCAACATTTTTACATGCTATCAACCTTTTCTCACCTGCTGATATAATAGAAGTGCTTGATTGTGTTAAGTGTTTGCACCATTTACTTGATTTGTTTAATGGGCAGTTCATAGTCTCAATCCTTAAGTTTAGTACACACTAGCAGACGTCGCGCAACTTGTCTATAGGCAGTCTGGAGACAGTCTCAAGACACGATCCATAGATGGTCATCCTCCTTTGTCGCGTCTAGCGTCCATACGATAATGTGAATTTTTCGGTTTCATATTCGTTTTCGCCATCAAAGGCATTGTTTTGTGTGGAATGGACTAGGATATCTCTCGGGGTCCCTCAGAATGTTTTTTGTTTTCGGTCAACAGAGCAGTTTTTTATGTACACGTACAATGTGTGGTATCATGGGTTTTTGGGAGTTTCCTTATGATCATATATTGGAATTATTATTCAGAAACCTCCCATGGGGGTTTCTGAATCTTCATTCCGCTATATTGCAAATGCACGAAATTACCTTATCTACCAGAGTAAAGTGTTTGAATTGTTTTTCATTTGCAAAATTGATTTTTTGTTATTATCTCATTCGTCGAATTGCTCTGAGTAAGCAGGCGTTCTTTCTGTGTCATATTTATTCTATCACTGCAAAAACATGGCGACAAAAGTTATTCGTGTTGCCGGTGGAATTGCTCTGAGTAAGCGTTCTTTCCGTATATGTTTTGTGATCAGAATACTCACCAAGATAATATTCAATAAGTTTTAAGTACGGAGAAATCTATGTTGTGTGAAATATGTCTAATAGGTGCCTAGAATGACCATGGTTGGGAGAGTATAAATATAGTATCAAAAAATTGATATATCTACAACCCCTCCCCCAACCTCTAAAAATTTTTTCAAAATTGATCCTATGAAACGTCAAAAAACGAAGTTTAAGCGACTTTTGTCGTTTTTGGAGTATTTCTCTGTCGCCCCTGGACCAATTTTTAAAAACAACAATGCTTAGCATAGTAGTAACATTGTGTTAAAAATTCATCAAAATACTAACGGTATTTCTAAAGTTATAGGCGGTTATAGGATTATAGGACAGACAGACCGACGGAAATTAGTGACATGGTTTTTCGTGATGTACATGTCGTATAACATCCAAAAAACATACTATCTGAAATTTCTCAAGCACGAAAATTGCTTGTCAATTTACCAATACCATCAAAAGCGATGGTTACATCGTAAGCCACGATGCAAACGAGCACACAACATCATTTATGCACAGAATAAAATGTCGTTATATTGTGTAGAGATATAAAGCGTTTAATCTCAATTACGAATGTACGAGGGGGTTCCCCAAAAGAAAACGGAATTATTTTTAAAAGCTAATTATTTTCAAATTTTTCACAAACCTTTTCTCCTTCAAAATACTGTCTACTACAACTAATACACTTGTCCGACCGGTGCTTCCACTACTCGAAACATTTTTTGAAGTCTTCCTCAGAAATGTCTGACAGCTCCTCCCTCGTTTTTTTCTTGACCTCTTCAATTTCGTCAAAGCGGCGTCCTTTCATGCCCCTGTTCATCCGTGGAAATGAGAAAAAGTCGCACGGAGCCAGGTCAGGCGAATGAGGTACGTGAGGCAGTGGAACCATGCCATTTTTAGCCAGAAACTGTCGAACAGAGATGGCTGTGTGCATAGGTGCATTATCGTGGTGGAAGAACCAGTCTCGTGACTGACACAAATCGGGTGTTTTTTGCAATTGTCTTAAAACCTCAAAATAGCACAAGCTCTCGAATTTTTTCAACATTTTCGTCGATTGGGGTAGTTGATGGACGTCCAGAGCGAGGTTTGTCATCAATCGACATGTCGCCATTTTTAAATTGAGCAAACCACTCGTACACCTGAGTTTTTCCATATCATCATCTTTGTAAGCTATTTTCAACATTAAAACAGTTTCAGCAGCATTTTTACCAATTAGAAAGCAAAATTTCACAGCTGCACGTAGCTCACTGAAGCTTGCCATCGCAAAACACGAAACAAGCACGAAACAGCTCTAGCAAAAATAATGACTACAGAGGAACGAAACAAGCCAGATCGACAACTCAGGTGGCACTGAACTGGTAATGAGTTGCGCTGTACGCCTCTATGGGCAGAAATGTGTACTACACAAGCTCCGCCCACTGCAATGCTGTTCCGGTTATTTTTGGGTACCTCCTCGTATTTCACAGCTGAACTAGAAAATGTATATTCCTTGAATTAAATCACAAGTCACTGTTAATTTGTGACAGAGATTTGATTCATACAAATCCAACCCTCGAAGTCCACATTTCCCACTTCGTCAAGCTAGACCCTAGGCCATTACATATCGAAATTTAAAATCAAGATATTATTTCCAACACGTAAGATTTTTACTGCAGCATTTAGCTTGATTCGGTTGTAAGTTATATGACTACGTGTTTTATAATATCTAGTAAACGTAATTCACGATGCCCAAGGTTGTCATAGACAATAAAGTTTATGCAGTAAGAAGAGATTTCGAGAACCTAGTACAACGGAAATTAATGAAGCCATGATAATTTAGTGAAATTCTATGCAAAATTGACGAAAAGTGGGTTTTCTAATACGAAGATTATCTGATTGTTGGAATATGGAATATTTTTGGAAATATAGGTAAGTGATCTTATGGTAAGGCTCATGTTGCTCTTGATATCACGCAAGTATTCGATCAGCTCTGACATACTGCCCTCTTATGCAAACTTCCATCCTTTGGCCTCCTAGAGATGGGTGGCTGACTTCCTTTCTGGTCACAAGATATTCATCGTAATGTCAACGCGGGTGTACCTTAGCGATTGGTCTTCGGTCCGACACTGTTCCTATTACATAACAACAACCTCGTTACAATCTTGTACAGTTAAATGCTTCTAAAACACAGTACTGTACCTTGACGGACAAAAGGCGTCCTAGCGCTCATCCGGTTTCGATGCATGACCGAGTTCTGCCAAAGAGCCGTTCACTTTGGCTGGTTGGATTCTAGATCACCGAGGACTTAATCTGGCATACACATCTCGTCAATAGCGGCAGCTTCTGGGGAAAACCCAGGCTATTTGTTTAGGGCTAAGTACTTTCCTCCACATGACTTCCTCACTCTATACAATACCCAGATAAGACCTAGCCTCGAATACTGCTCACATGTTTGGGGTTTTGCCACCACGACTACATTAACCATGCTCGATGCTGTTCAGAGAAGGGCTGACTGATCAATGACTCTTCTCTGACATTCTCGGGACCCTTTCGCATCGACGGGCCGTCGGCGATATGGCTCTCTTCTGCCGCTATGTCAACGTGGTTTTCTTCCTCAGAGCTCTCCCTGATGCCGTTGCACGTGCATGTGCCTGCTAGACAGACGCGCCTGATTTTGGTCTCCCATCCCGTCGAACTTTGTACATCCAGAACTAGCCAATACGATCGCTCCTTTGTCCCTAGGGTATCAAAATTGTGGAACAGTTTACATGAGGAGGCTTTTACCAGTTGTACTACCCTTAGGTAATTCAAAAATCGGATTAACGAGGTTCATAGCAGCCGTTGTGCCCTGGTGTTTAGGCCTCTTCCTGCGCGGCTGCGTCGGTATGAAAAAGCTCTTTTAAAGATCACTGTATAGGATATAGTTGAATAGTTCCATTTGAGTAAAAAATTATCGCTAAAGAATATAAACTATTGTCCAGTAAAGTTAGTGTAACGTATTTGACATATATGTACCTACTGCGAGAAAGCTAATTTTTATTTGTTCATGAAACGTCTTCTACAAGTTTTAGAATCTGACCGACTCTCGTAAGAATAAGTCAAGTTTTTTTTATACCACAAACTTGTACCGATCCGAACTATACAAGTTAATCAATCTTCGAACTTTCTTTTGTTCAATAAAAGAAGATGATAATGTAGTTTATGTGAATTACTGACCTCTAACGGTTGAAAATTTTCGACATAACTGAAACATACGCTATTATTTTCGCTGAAACACGTACAGTCATTATAACGGTCGTGGACTGTAATTCACAGTCATGTATGGGCGCATAACCTAGAAAAGAACGTATTTTGTTGAGGAGATTTTGGAAGATATGACATGACAGACATTTTTATTGAAGTGTTTTTTTTGCTACCTGCTTAAGTAGGATCTCAAGATACGGGGCGAATAAACTTGAAATAATATTGTTCGGTACGAAAAAAAAACATTTCACTTCCTGCGCCACTCGCGAATATCACTGATTTTATACACATGCAGACAAATACACACAATCATCTAGATGCGATCTTGCTACTCAACCAATTTTCTTTCTGTCACATCTCAGAGAAAGCATCTGGGGAACTGATAGTGAGCAAACGCAGAATGAACTATTTATTTGCACACTAGGAACTAACTAGTCAGCAGGTTGACATTTTTTCCCTTTTTAACACGCTTTTTTATTAGCTTGGCCTGTATGTATATAACGGAATCTTTGAGCATAATTTGCACCAATTTCCAGAAGTTTGATTAATTGGAAACTTCGCACACGTATCAAGGACCGATGATAATGCAATAATTTGATAACAGTTTTGCATTACCTTGATTCATAAAATTTTGTAAAAAGCACATATGTTGATAAAAAGCCACGGATTTCATATGCCGCGTTACGAATAGCGAAACGGCAAGCCTCTGTAGCTCAGTGGCAGCGCGCTCGTCTTGTAAATCAGTGGTCGTGAGTTCAATCCTCACATTCTGGTATATCTTTTTTTAACACGCTTTTTTATTAGCTTGGCTGTATGTTTTTTTTTTTTTAGTTTTTTTAGGGCCGATTTCACCAACATTAATATTATGGACCAATGGGAGAATACCTTATCGAAATGCAATTTGACAGAAGCTGTCAAAGGTCTCTGAATATTAGTGATTTCTATTGAAATATTGAATAAAATCGTGAAAATTCGACTGTATTATAATCAAGACCACTTTTTGATCCCAACATGATGCTTTTGTACAGAAAATACAGGACACCTTTCATGTATTTTGATATATGTATGTATGTTATAGGTTTACATTTAACAATCCGTTATCCCCCTCAGCGAATTGGAATGCGGCAAATAATAGGTCGATCTTCTAGCTGTAAAATTTGGCAGCAGATTTGGACGTTTGTTAATGCATGGCACTCTCGAATTTACCAGCTTCAATATACTGAAAGTTATCATTACATACCTGTTGAATAGTGTGGGTTTGTCTGTATTTTCAAGAAAATAGAATATAAAATACATTCCATCCAATTCCTCATCTTCCTTCACGTCATAATAGTAATCATTTGTTAATTTATGGGTTTATGAATTTCTTCAAAGCAATAAAAACATTATGTCCTCTCCATCCTAAAACACAGATAATATGTGTAAGTCGTGTCAATCCGTACATCTCCCTGATGGATAATGCAATTACTATGGACATAGACAAAAAATTATGAAAAATGTTTCACAAATAATGTCCTTTTAAGTCCAAAAATCATCAAATTAGTAATGTTTATTGTTTGTGTTTTTGACTGGCGGGGATATCTATCTGTCACTCGAGGGTTGCCAAGTCTAAAGACGATCACGTCCCGTGGTGGAGGGTGCGAAATGCATCTTTTACATTTGCTGGTTTTGAATTTTTTTCGTGAAAATTTACTAGGTATCATGATTATAAGCATCTTTGGTAGATTGTTCGATCCGGAATGGGAAAGATCTATTTATGAAAATATTTTTGGTATCATCTCACCGTTGCAATCAGTGCACAAACACTGTGACATATGATTTATAGCATAACCCGGTGCCCTATCATTACAAATTTAACATACAGGTCGCCTAGCCGTGGGGATGCAGTGGTCGCGATGAATATCACGGCAGCAACTGATGATTTGGGCATTTTCTGGTAAGAACGTATGAAGTGAAACTCGCTCACTTCACAAATTTGAAGATTTTGTACAATTTCTTTGAAAATGATGAAAGATATGTCTGATTTGGCAGGGTAATGTCGCAGCCAAATGGCAGTCACTCTTTCTGACACAGTCCGGATCGAAAGATGACGATACTCGTGGAATGTATTGATACTTCTAAAAGAATCTTTTCGCGAGTCCACGGTGTAGCACAGTGCACTACCGGAAACCGATACTCAAATTTTCGCGAAGAACGGGAATAGGGGAAGACGGATGTGACGTCGTCCGAATGTCAAAAAATCACGTGGTACAGGTACCCGCCTAACGTCTGTGAGGTACTAGCGGGTGACAGGTCTTATGTCAATTTCATTTAAAAAACAGGCATCTCAATTGAAAATTTGTCTTCGCAGTGCCGAAAATTGAGTTAAATTATGAAATCATAAATGGAGGAACACGTCCACCTGATTTTAAATGACGAGGGAGAAGGTCATCGAAGATAATATGAACTGCGCTTGTCATATCAAATGATTGATTGATTAAAACATGAATTTAATTTAAAAAATCAAACATTTCTTAAAATTTTGATTGAATTATATGTAATTTCTTAATATTCAATAAGCTGGTAATGTTTCAATGGCAAGTTGTCATCTCATACTTTGACAGTATTTTGTTTTCAACATTTCATAGCTATTGGTTGCTAAAATTTGTTGATTGGAACTTGAAGCTCATGCGCTGTATCTGACTGTCTGTTACCCTATAGGTGGAGAATAACGGACTGTTGTTGGTGAAACTGGGCCTTAAACTATTATTTATTTTTCGACATTATAGGTTTTTTACGTAATGACCCTGCCGGTAATCAAGCTTCTTCCTACGCGGCTGCTTTTGCATAAATAAAAATCGTGCCTTTCTGAGGACCCTAGTTCATTAACTTCGTATACTCGATGTTGAATCACTTGATCTCTGCGTAGGTACTGCGAAAGTAATTTCGAATACCGAACTACTCGAAAGCATTGATCGGCAACATCCTTATTCGGAATAGAGCAGGTGTATCATAAACTATGTATAATAGCAAATGGTAGTAATATTCAAGTTGTGCGAAATACGAAATTGTTCATGCAGATAACGGTCTAAATTGTCTACTAGGTGCGTACTCACATACAGTTGGCGTTAGTGAAAGCGAAAATTATCCTGTTGAAAGGAGAAATTGTATATGAGTGAAAGCAGCCATGTTGAAGGTCTGGATCGTTCTGGTGTGTAGACTGTAAGAGATCATAGGTATGGTGAGATTTTAAAATTATTAATAGGGTTCATTTTTTAGAGAGCACAACAAATGAGCGAAAAATTTCATTCGGAATTTTGTTAAATAGACCACGGTTGTTAAATTCCCTTTAATTGAATTAATTTGTTCAAAGAATTGTCTCAACAAATTACTAAATATCTTATGTTTCTTGCTCTACTTTTCGCTATGTTTTTTTAGATGATTTGGATCAAAAAACGTCCTTAATGAATTTTGTCTAAGAATGGTCGTTTTCATGTTCCGACCGATTTGGAGTTTGATAAACCCTAAAATGTCCATTTCAATGTACTTCCCACTGTCTTGCTGTCAGTTCATAAAGGATTATGTTCGGCACAAGTTAGCCCCTCTGATAAAAATTTAGCTACGTGCAAGTTATAATAAAAATAAAATTTAACTCGATTTAGGGCCGATTTCACCAACATTAATATTATAATATTATGGACCAATAGGAAAATACCTTATCGAAATGCAATTTGAAGGAATCTGTCAAAGTTCTCAGAATATCAGTGATTTCTATTAAAATGTTGAATAAAATCGTGAAAATTCGACTGTATTATAAACAAGACCACTTTTTGATTCCAACATGATGCTTTTGTACAGAGAAACAGGACAACTTTCATGTATTTTGATTTATGTTATAGGTGTACATTTGACCATCCAGTTATCCCCTCAGCGAATGGGAATGGGAGAAATAATAGGTCGATTTTCTAGCTGTTAAATTTGGCAGCAGGTTTGGTCGTTTGTTAATTCATGGCAATCTAGAAATTTGTTAAGTTCAATATACTGTGTGTATATGTGATCATTATAGCTACACATACCTGTTGAATTGTGCGGATTTGCAAGAAAATAGAATATAAAATGTATTCTAACCAATTCCTCATCTCTCTTTACATCATAATAGTAATCGTTTGTTATAAATTCATGGGGTAATGAATTTCTTCAAAGCAATCAAAACAGTATGGTCGTCCACATCCTAAAACACCGATATGTGTAAAACATGTTAATCCTTACATCTCCGAGGTGCATAATGCAATTACTGTAGACATAGACCTAAAATTATTAGTAATTACTGAAAAATAAGAGCTAAAAATAATTATAAATAGTGATAAAATATTGGTGGTTAAGGTTTTTGACTGGTGACTGGAATTAATAAAGTTTATTTCGACAGTTGGCCTAGTTTGCTCCACTGGGTAGTGGTGTTGAAAAAGTAATCATACGAAACTCGAGTACTCGTTACTCATAGATACCCGAAGTAACGAGTACCAATCCGAGCACGCATCCCACATTCAGATGGAAACCTGGAAACTCATTTTTTTTATTGGCGGACATAGAATTTGGTAATTGTTTTTAAATCTGAAGTTTACCTTTTTACACCGTGACACAAATTCGCTTTTATTGTTGTGATCTAGGGAACCTGAAAAGGAATAAGTAGTCGATTGGACCGGATCAAAGTTCGGCAGTATTATGAGGCAGAAAAGCGACAACAAGGTAACATCACCATTCAGGAAAACCACAATAATAAAAGTTATATCAATTTGACTCGTGTTTCCATGCACTGTTTTGCTAAAAAAAATATAATTCAGTATAACCACCAATAGTATGTCTAGACCAAGCTCAACGTAGAATTTTTTATACTGGTATATTATGCTTAATTGAAATGCTTCGAAAAGTCACATCCCATTCCGAATTTCCTTATGCCCATATACAGATCATCTTTCTGACTAAAAGACATGTTTTTAAGTATTTCTAGTAAATACAAAGTATTTTCAGTTTGTAGGCTCATATGAGTCATATGACACTCCATCCTATGATAACTCATCTCGATAAGCATACAGTTTGAAGATACAATGTTTGCATTAAACACGATAGTCTTGAAAACTATGCTTATAACATTTTGCAAATTTTAAGGTCGTCTATTTTCTTACAAGATTCGGTTCCATTCAACTTGTTTAAATTCGACATTAATAGGCAGTCTGGCACACAAGGGACGTATATTTAGGTTGCCTACAATTATGTGCACATCCCTTATTCCGCTTTCCCTAGATTGGTTTTTGTGCGTACAACAGGTACGTACTTGTCGATCACCCTCATGACCGCATGACCGGACAAGCAACAACGAAACTCAAGCTCGCTTGTATTTAATTGAATATTAAATTAAAGTTTCAGGTGATGAGGCTTCAACTTCTGGACAAAAACAAAAAAATATTCAGAATCTTAGATGCAAGAATTGCATCATTGGTTCTCTTGACAATGTTTCCACCTCCATGTGTGCTATTAGCGTTTTTTTTTTCATCAAGCAGTTGAACACCGGTGTGCCAACCATTCTTGTTAACAATTTCACAACAAACGCTGTATCTCATGTTTTCGTTCATGGCTGCCTAAATAAAGGGTTATCAATGAGGATGTGTTGATGCTTATATGTAATAAAACAAGTGCTGTATGGTGTATTAAAGAGATCCCTTTTTAATTGAAATTCTATTTTATGGGAACTGGTATGAAATATGGAATATGACATGAGTTATCTGTCCACCGTGGGAC